TGGGTCACCTCAGCGGTGCCACTCCCTGGCTCTGCCCTCTCCAGAAATCAACGGGAATTGGAGCAGAATCTGTAGGGTTGGGGGCACAGGGCCGTGTCCCCTGCTGGTGGCACTCGGGGTGTGATTGGGGGGTCATGGGGAGGCTCTGGAACGGGAACAGCTCTGACCCCATTCCTGCCCCACAGGTGAGGAGATCACGCGGCCCCGGCGCTCCACGCCCACGCCAGACCCCGCCAGGTCAGTCCCGGGGTTATCCACGGTCCAGACACCATTCCAGTGTGGATTTGGGACATTCCCATGGACAGGGGGGCGTTTGAACCGTGTCTGATGGGCTCCTGAAGGGTCAGATGGGATTTTGGGCAGGAATTGTTCCCCAGAAGGGTGGGGAGCTCTGGCAGTGCCAAAGGCCWGGCTGGRATTGGGGTTTGGAGCACTCTGGGATGGTGGRAGATAKCCCTGCCCATTTATGGGATTTGATTTAATGGCCCTCCCAGCCCATTCCGTGATTTTGGGAGGACTGAGAGCCCCATGGTTTTTGGGATGCTGTGTCCATCCCTGTTCTCCCTAAAAGCACCAAGGACATTCCCTTCTGGAGCACCTTGGTCCTGATCCCTACAGAGCTGCCAGCCTTGGGGGAATTTATTGATTTAGGATGTGCAAGATTTTAGGGAATAAAGCCAAAATCCCCCAGGGAACGGGCCCTGTGCAGCTCCAGGGCTCAGCTCCAGCTGTGGTGGAGCAGAGCATGGTCCAGATCACGCACATTTTTTTTTTTTTTAACCCTTTCCCATGCACTTTTGGCTGATTTTGAAGCCATTTGAAAGGTCCCACTGTAGGGCTGGCACTGTGGTGTTCCCAGTCCCTTTTCCCTTTTTCCCCCTGCAATCCCATGCTGGCCAGGTCCTTGATGGTTTGGAATATAAAAAGTCCTTGAAAATATGAGGGTTTTCCCCAAAGATGGGTCAGAACACAGCAGTGACCCCATGGCTGCTCTGTGCTTGTCTCATCCCCAGCAGGAAACCCGGGGAGGACCCGGCGGCGCTGGCCCCGCTCTTCGGGCCCCCGCTGGAGTCAGCGTTCGAGGAGCACAAGCTGGAGGGTGAGTGTGGGGTCAGCGGGGTGTGGGGTAAATGGTGTGGGGTCAGGGCGGGTGTGGGGTCAGCAGTGACTTTGGGGCCAATGATGACATTGGGGTCAGCGGTGACATTGGGGTCAGCAGTGTCTTTGGGGCCGTGGTGTCTTTGGGGCCATGGTCACTTTGGGGTCAGCGGTGAGTTTGGGCTCAGTGGTGACCTTGGGGTCAGCAGTGTCTTTGGGGTCAATGGTGACTTTGGAGCCATGGTGACTTTGGGGCCAATAATGACTTTGGGGCCGTGGTCACTTTGGAGCCAATGATGACTTTGGGGTCAGCGGTGACTTTGAGATCAGGAGTTGCTTTGGGGCCAAGGTGGCTTTGGGATCAGTGGTGTCTTTGGGGTCAATGGTGACTTTGGGGCCGTGGTGACCTTGGGGGTCAGTGGTCACATTGGGGCTGGGGTGAYATTGGGATCAGCAGCAACTTTGGGGCCAGCAGTCACTTTGGGGCCGTGGTGTCTTTGGGATCAGTGGTGTCTTTGGGGCCAATTGATGACTTTGGGGCTGGGGTGACATTGGGATCAGCGGTGACACTGGGGCCGGGGTGACATTGGGATCAGTGGTGTCTTTGGGGCCGTGGCCACTTTGGAGCCAATGGTGACTTTGTGATCAGCAGTGACTCTGGGGCCACTGATGACTTTGGGGCCATGGTGACTTTGGGATCTCCCAGCAGGGCCACAGGAAGGTTCCCCAGCCCGGGCAGCATTGGGGTCCCCATCCCTGAGGGGTTTGGAATCCCCATGGATGTGACCCCTGGGGGCGTGTTTGGGATGGAATTTGCAGCGCTGGGGGATGATCAGACCCCACGGGCTCAGAGGGCTTTTCCAAGTTCACAATTCCATGAATTCCACGGGAATTCAATAATTCCATGAATTCCATGGAATTCCACGATTCCCAGTTTCCCAGCCCCGCTGCCAGAGGAGGAATCAGCCCAAGCAGGGTTTGAAGGACGAGCGGCCGTGTTCCTCGGTGCGGGGTTAATTCGGGCTGCCCACAAACAGAGCGAGCTCTTAAGTCAATTAGTTAATTAACAGGTCTGGGCCAGGTCCTGGCAGGGAACAGCTCCAGAATATCCAAACTCTGGATTTTCCAATCAAACCATCACCCTGGAGCAGGGGGAGTTTAATTCCATCCGGGATTTGGGATGCAGTTGTGGGACAATGCCTCAAATCCCTCCTAGGAAATGCTGTTTCAATAATGGTGTTTTCTCCTCTTTTAACATGGACACATTTTTCTTCCCTCCAAACCCGATTTTTCCCAGATTTCCCAAAGCTCTGGGATCTTCCAAGTCCTGATTCTCCCAAACCAGCCCCGTTCACCCCTCGAGGGGGTCATTCCCAGAGATTTCCTCCTCCTCTTTTTTCCTCCTCCTGGAGCCTCAGGGATTGGCCACTGCCCTGGGAGCCTTGTCCTGTCCTCTCATTAACAACTCCAGTTAATTCTTTTAATCAAAGCAGCGTTTGCATGCAGCTCTCTGCACAAAAACTCCAAGAAACTGAAATTACACATAGAAAAATTCCACCCCCCCCACCCGCTGAAACCCCTCTGAATTTAATTGTATTTTTTTTTATTTTCATACCTGATGGGGTTTGGGGTTTTTTTGGGTTTTTTTTTTTTTTTTTTAAAGTCTAAAATCCCAGACCCTTTTTGCCCTCAATACAATATTTTCCTTCCCGTAAGAAGCCTCCAAGCCCATCCCTGGCATTGTTTTGTTTGTCAAGCAGCATAAGTGTCAAACTAATTGCACGTCCTGCTTGGAAATCGGACAATCTTTTAATTATCCACCCTTAGAAAGCCCCCTGTCTTTAATTAATGAGGTTTCTGTCACTGTCTGGTCCCTCTTTTCCCAGAGCTTCAGAGTGTCACCTTTGTGTTTTGCTGATTGGAAGAAAATATTTGGTTTTTTTCATTGCTTTCAAAGGTTTATTTTTATTTTTTCAGCCGCTCTGGACCAGCCTGAGATATGGGGGTCAGTCCAACCCGTCAACACAAACGTAGAGTCCCCAAAACTTCCGAGACCTTTTCCAACTGGAAGTAAGTGACCCTAAAAATAAATAAAAAATAAACCCACAGAGAAACCAGGTCAAAGATTTGAGTGCTGCTCATCCAGGCTCTGCAATTCCATAATATTTTAAATTAGAGGGTTTTTTTTGGGTTTTTTTCCCCTTGGTTTGCTCTGGGTTTAGAGTCCTGTGGGGTGGAGGAGAGAGTGGGATTGAGGGATGGAGGGATGGGGATGGATCCTGATCCTGCATGACCGTGCCGGGCTAATTTGGCTGGAAAAGTTGGAAGCACCAGTTTTTCCAGGCTGACATGGAGAAGAGCAGCACTGCCCCCAATCCCTGATATTTTTTTTGAATCCCGGATTTTATTTTAATCCCCGATTTTTGTTTTGAATCCTTGACTTTTTTCTCCAGTCCCCGACTTTTTTTGAATCCCCGATTTTTTTTTTTTTAAATCCCCTTTTCTTTTTTTTTAATCCCCGATTTTTCCTCCCGTCCCCGATTTTTCCCCACTCCCCGATTTTTCATCCCCATTTCCCTTTCACCCGGGGCAGCCCAGGAACCATTTCCTCRTCAGAAACGCCCCTGTAAAGCATCTCTGCCTAATTAGGCGCTGTTAATTAGCCCCACCCCGCCTGCACACCCTGGATCCAATGGGATGGGCACTGCAGGAAGGTGGAGACCACGCTGTGCCCCGGAGGCTCTGGCTTTAATTAAAATGCTAATTTTAATAGGCTGTGAAAAAAAACGGGGAAAAATTTCATAATTTACAAAATTTTCAATAAAAACTGTTCCCCACTGCCAGGGGGAAGGGATAGGGGGGATATTGGGAGGGAATTCCTGGCTGGGAAGGAATTCCTGGATGAGATGGAATTCCCAGAGAAGCCGCGGCTGCGCCTGGATCCCTCCAATGTCCAGAACGTCGCTCGGAGCTCATCCCTGCCTTTATCCCCTTTTCCCAGCAATCCCGTTTGGTATTCCATGGATTTTTCCAGGTTTCCCGCTGCTCTCCAGCTGAATTTTCCCCTCTCTGCTCTGTCCGCAGCCCCTCCGCCGCTCCCCCCGAAGAACATCCCGGCCACGCCGCCGCGCACCGGCTCGCCCCTGCCCCTGGCCATAGGTAACGGCTCTGCCCCRCCCTGGGGTGCCCATTTGGGGTGGCACTAAGGGGACAGACCCCCCTGGCCATGGGGACAGCTCCTGGCACAGCCAGCTCGGRTCCTGGGGTGGCACAGGGGGATAGGGCTGCGTTTGGGACATGGATTTGGTCCCTGTGCGTCCCCTTCCTTTTGCAGAATTCCAGAATGGTTTGGGTTGGGAGGGAGCTTAAAGCTCACCCAGTGCCACCCCTGCCATGGCAGGGACACCTCCCACTGTCCCAGACTGCTCCAAACCCTCCTGGGACACTCCCAGGGATGGAGGAAGGAGGTTTGGTGGTGTCTCAGTGGATGCTGCAGTCGGGGTGATTTCACAGAAATTTTTGGCTCCCAAGCTGATCTCACCCTGGTGAAATCCATGTTCTTGACACCATCCCTGCCCTCGGGATCAGTCCCTTTGGGAAGCAGGATTAACCTTTATATCCTGCTCAGAATTGGGATATTTTTCCCAATTTCAGAGCTTTGCTCTTTGGAGCAGGCCCGTGCTTGGGAAATAACGGGATTTGCAGGGTCTGCCTGCGTCAGGGAGCTGCTCCTGCACTCCCTGCCCCCCAAATTCCCACTGAAAGGTGGGAAAAAAACCCTGGTGCTGCAGCCTGGGGCAGGGAAGGGAGGATGGAGAGATGATGGGGATGAAAGGGTTGGAAAGGGGCTGGGGATGAAGGACACCCAAGGGCAGGGATGGAAAGGTTCTGGATGCAGCCAGAGGACAGCAAGCGCTTCCAAACATATAATTCATGGTGCTGGCAGGGAGCTGCTGCTGGAAAAGCAGAATTTGGGCAGGAAAGGCAGGGCTGGCCTGGAATTGGGCACTGCACGGGGACAGAGCCCCTTGGGATCAAATCTTTGGCCATGAGGAACTGCCCTGCTCTGGCCTCGCTGCTCTGACCATCTCCATCCCATCTGTGCCCCCATATCCCAATTTTCCTGTTTGTGGGAGCAGTGTCCATCTCCATCCATCAATCCATCCCCAGGAGCAAATGCCGGATCATTTGCTGGGCTGTGCTTTGTGTATCTGTAACGCCAGAGGCTGAGATCTGCTTTTGTCTGGTGTAGCAAAATCCTGTTTGATCCCCTCCACCCTCAGTGGAGAAGCGTGGATGGCTCCCCCAAATCCAGGAGAGGGATGGGGTGATGCTCCCACGAGGATCCCGGAGGGAATTCAGTGTTAGGATCTCCTTTCCTTGGATGTGAAGTGCTTGGCTGTGGATCTGTGGTGGTTCTGGAGTCAGGTGGGAATGTTGGTGTGTGGAGCCTTGGTGTGCCCTGAAATCCTGACCTGTGCCTTGAAATCCCAGTCTGTGCCTTGAAATCCTTATCTGTGCCCTGAAATCCCCAATCTGTGCCCCAAAATCCTGATCTGTGCCCCGAAATCGTGGCCTGTGCCCTGAAATTCTCATCTGTGCCCTGAAATTCTCATCTGTGCCCTGAAATTCTCATCTGTGCCCTGAAATTCTCATCTGTGCCCTGAACTCCTGACCTGAGCCCCAAAATCTCAGTCTGTGCCCCAAAATCTCGGTCTCTGCCCTGAAATCCCGATCTGCTGTGCCCTGAAATCCCCATCTCTGCCCTGAAGTTCCGATCTGTGCCCTGAAATCCTAATCTGTGTCCTAAAATTCCTGCTTGTGGCTGGAACACATTCCCTGTGCTGCATGCCCCGACTCCAGCAGTGTCCAAGCAGCATGTTTAAATATATATATATATATATTTATACCTGAGTGTTTATAAATATATATATAGAGAGAGAGTGCGGTGTGCCAGAGTGCTGAGCGCACCCCTTCAATATCTGCTGATAATTCCCAGCGCTGATAAGGACCTGGAGTGGTTGAGAGGACAAAAAAAGGCTGTGAATTTGAGGGGATTTGGGACTGTGGATGTGAGTGCTGGCTCGTGGTGCATGATCCCGCGGGATTCATCCCCCGCTGTGCACGGCCGCGGTAGAAACGTTGCTGCCCATGAATTATATCGATATCTACAGGAAAAGGAGTTTTTTAGCTCATCTCYCGTAGAAGTAGAACCCGTAGAGAGTAGCACAGCCCTCGCTTAATGCTCGGTGTAAAATAAACCTCCTCTGACCGCAGGAGGGGACCAGGCAGCAGCAGARCCCAAACGGGACAAACTCCCGTCCATCAATGACTTGGACAGCATTTTTGGCCCCGTGCCGTCCCCCAAATCTGCTGCTGCCGCCGCGGAAGACAAGTGGGTCAATTTTTCCGATCAATCCCCGGAGAACGCGCCTCCGGAGCTGTCGCCCCGGGACAAAGCGCCGCCGTCGCCGCCTCCGCCGGTGCCCGCGGGCAGCCCGGGCAGCGCCCCGGCGGCGGCCGAGCATCCCCGCCCGCTGCCCTCGCCGCTGCAGCTGGAAGACGCTCCCAAGAAGATTCCCGAGCAGCCCCACCTTAAGGATGATTCCGCCGAGCCCGTCGCCTCTCCCAAAGATTTGGGGCCGGGCCAAAGGGCCACCCCGCCGCCCCCTCCGCCGCCCACCTACCGCGCGGTGGTGTCATCGCCCGGCCCGGGCGCCAGCACGGGAAGCGCCAGCGGTACGTGCTGTGAGCTCGGGTGTGCTTCGCTGTGGCCCTGGTGACCGCCGCCGACCCCTCCCGCCTGCCTGTGCCTGCCCGGCCGTCCCATCCTGCCGTCCCGTGTGTTTTCTGCGCCTYCTGTGTCCTTCCCTGCCCCGCGCTGTGCTCCCCGAACTGCCGGGACCGCACCCCGAAATGGGGCGCGGGGTTGKTGTTGGTGGTGTTGGTGTGCTCTGCTCCCGCTCCCACCGAGAAATGTGTCAGGGAAATCACCGGGGGTTAAATCACGTTAATTCACGGGTGTGAGCGGTGCTCGGTGCTTCCCGGGGATGGGGAAATGTGTCCGGGCTGAGCCTCTCCCCTGGGAGAACCGGCTGGCTCTGCCTGCATTCACCTGCTTAATTATGAATGTTCRTTAAGGCAAACGAGCTCGGCGCGGCTCGGTTTACTCACCCCGAGTGCCTGAGCCCAGCTCAGCCAATCCCGCACCCAGCACRAGCGATTTTTGCGGGATTCACCCCGCAGAGCCTGGAGGAAGCTGCACCCGCACAGGGGTGAGGGGTGCGGTGGGTGCAGCCCCCCAGTTCTGTGTGTCACCGCTGTCCCCTCCTCGTGGGAATTTGTGTCACTGCCTGGGCTTTGTCACCTCCCCGGAGGGTGGCCCGGGCGGGGCTGGTGCTGCTCGTGTGGCTTCGCTTCAGTGCTGGTGGCTTTTCTGTGCTGGCCCGGGGCTGGGTGGGGTCCAGCCGGAGCGGGGACAGCTCCGGGAGCTCCGGGAAGCACCGGGATTCTCCAGCGCCGCTCTCAGCGCATTCCCAGAGGGGCACAGGATGGATTTGTGCCGTGGGGATGGATGGAGGGACAAATCCCGCTCCGAAGATCCAAATCTCCTCTCCAGGAATCGCCTCCCGGCTCAGGCTGGGCTGTTTCCCTCCCACTGCACCTCAGCATTCCCCAGAGCAGCTGGAAGATCAAAGTGTGGGCACAGCCCCACAAAAATGGCACAAATCCTTCAAAAGCTGCAGGCCTGAGRCACAAATCCAAGGTTATTTCCCCTCAATATTTCCTCTTTTGTCAGGCTTTTAGTGGGATGAGGAAGGCAAAATTCACATTTTTGGTCCCAAATTAGTCTTGGAAATAAAAGTGACTCGAATTTTGGGGTTGTGCAAAGGAAGGACTGAATTTGCTTCCTTTAAGCCAGGCCTTATCTTGTCTGAGTCTCCTCTCTTTCACCTCTTGCTGTTTCTGTAGATCCAGCTTTAGATAGATCCAGCTTTCTGTAGATCTTTCCTTAATCTTTCTGTGCTGAGCTCTCATACAAAAAATGTAGAAAACGATTCTTTTGTAAGTGGGGAAATCATTAAATCATCATCTTATGGGCCTGAGCAGAGCATGGAGCTGCAGAGCTTTGGGGAAATTCGTGACAAACACCGGCTCAGCTTTCCTGGGAATGGGTTCTGAGCTCCCTCCCATTTCTGGTGCTGCCTCTGTCCAGCTCCAGTCTCGCTGGGATTCTCCTGGAAGGAATTCCTGTGTGTGGAGTGAAGCTCTCTCCTGGTCGTCTTGTGAAGCACCCATTGGAATTTCCATTTGATCCCAAAAATCCCCATTTCCAGCAGGGTGAGGGACCACTGGAACCCCGAGACCAGCACCCCTTGCTGGTTCTAGGAGCCTCTTCCAGAGGGCTGGGAGATGAGTTACACTCCCAGCAAATCCCAGAACCTTCTCCTCTTCCAGAGGGTTGGGAGATGAGTTACACTCCCAGCAAATCCCAGAACTTTCCTCTTCCAGAGGGTTGGGAGATGAGTTACACTCCCAGCAACTCGCAGAATTTTCCTCTTCCCCCCGTCTCTCTCCTTTGCTTGGCCAAAGCTCTGCCCCTGTGCGTAGGATTCCTAATTCCCAGTTGTGCTGCCCCTGGAGCAGCGGTTCATCCATCACCACCTTCCTGCTGCCCACGTTTATTTTGGAAAGCTGTGAGACTCCTCTGATGACGATTTTTTCCGCGGGAAGCAGGCACGGAGCAGCTCCTGGCAGAAGTCCACGGGCACCAGCAAGCCTGGAATATTCAGCACAAAGCCGGGCTGTGCCCCGGTCCCGGAGAGCCCGAGGGGTCGGGATGGGCACCCACGGGGGCACAGCGTGCCCGGGGCACTCACAGCTCCCGTTTTTCAGGTTCCTCGTCGCCGGCTCGCCCCGGAACGCCGCTGGCCACGTGTGGGACCCCCCCGCCGCCGCCACCCCGACCCCCGTCCCGACCCAAACTGCCCCCGGGCAAACCTCCCGTCAGCGATGTGGTACGTGGGGTTTGGGGTGTGGAGGGGGTACCGGGGTGGTGGGGAAGGGAAAATAACCTTGGAACGGGGTAACGGAGCTAAGGGAGCGTGGAGCGGGGTTCTGTGGGGGTTCTGGGGTGAATCCCCCTGGGAAGGACCGCAGTGACACGGGCAGGGACGGGAATGGGCTCCAGGGAAGGGTTTGGGGTGGAGCAGGGCGGGTCCGGCCATCCCGGCAGTGCCCGATGATGTCCTGTCTGCTGCCCCACGCTGCTCCAGGTAGGCTGGGAGGCGTTTAGGATCGCTGATGTGGGTGTGAGATGACCCCGAAGGATCCCCAATCCCCGATGAGCGGCTCCGCAGGGAGCTGGCACACGCTGGGCACTGCTCCTTTCCCAGGGCCAATCCCATTCCCATCCCAAAGCCCTGAGCTYCCATCCTCAGTGCGGGTGGGTGGGAATTTCAAACACCCACACGGAGCTGGGGATGATCCATTTTCCTAGCTCCAAGATAAAATATTCCTACCAGAACCCAAATCATTCCAATTTTCCCTCTGGGACACCAGAGCAGTCCTGAGGGTCCGGGCATAACTTTGCTGTTTCTGTGCAGATTTTCTGTAACTTTGTGTTATTTTCTGTTTCTCTCCAGTCCAGGCCTTTTAGCCCTCCCATCCACTCCTCCAGCCCTCCTCCGATAGCACCTTTAGCCCGTGCTGAAAGTACTTCTTCCATCTCTTCCACCAATTCCCTGAGCGCAGCCACCACTCCCACCGTCGGTAAACACACGCAGCACTGCTGCTCTTTCACCTTTCCTACATCCTCACAAAATTCCTGACGCCTGGGCATTCGCTAGAATGTTCTCTGGGCTCGGATTCGTTTGTTTTTATTGGGGTTTTAAATGCTGAGAGGGCTTTGAGGGGGAAAATGGATCAGGAGGGTGGTGCTGAGAGGGAAGTTTTTCTAAATGTCATGGGAAAYGTGGTGAAAGTCAAGGGAGATATAATGTAAAAGGTCATTTTGGGCTGTAAATTGGGGCAAAATAAGCTTTTTTTTGGCAGGGGATGCTTGTGCCTGGAGGGGAGTGGGGCTGGAAGCCAGACCTTGGGATCCGGGGATGTTAAATCATTAAGGAATGCCTTAAATTCACATTTCCCCTTAAAGCAATAACGGGAAAAGGGGGCTTGGAAAAGGCTCTCCCAAACATTGCCTTGGCATGTCCCAGACCAGAACAAAATGCTGTTCCCTTTTGGAGGGGAAAAAAACCGTTAAAAAAAATGGGGTTTGCCCAAACGCCGGGGCTGAGCCAAGGGATGGGAATCGAGTCTGGCTGGCAGCTCCAGCTCCAGGCGCTGGGTCCCCCACGCCTCCTCCTCCATCCCCTCCATCCCCTCCATCCCCTCTGTCCCCGCTGCCGCCGCTCCCCCTCCTCCTCCTCCATCCCTTCCATCCCCCTGCCCTCGCTTCCCGCAGCTCCATCTTCTCCCAAACACCTTCCTCCTCTGTTTTTTTCCCCGATCCCGGCAAACCCAGCCTGGCGGGAGTTCCCGAGCGCTCGGCACCGCCCTGGCCGCAGCGTGTCGCCGCTGTCACCGCGGYGGTGGCCGGAAGGGGTGGCGCTGGTGGCACCGGGTCCCCCACCCCCGGGGCTTTGCTGGAGTCTCCGACTGCGTCTCCATCCTGTCGTTGTTCACTCTCGGCTGTTGTAGGTGCTCGTAGCTGTTSCGGCTGTCGGTCACTGTCACAGCACCTTGCTGGGGAAATGTCACCGGGAGCGAGGGGCAGCCAGCCCTGGGCATCCGCTGGTGGCACAGGTCACCACTGGTGGCACTGCAGTGGCCTTGACCGGTGCCTGAGGGCACGGTGGCCGCAGGGACAGTGGCTTTGGTGGAGGGGACAGCCAGGCTGAGAGCAGGGATGGTCACAGGGGCTGCAGGATGCTGGGAAGGGCGGTGGCAGCGGGCTGAGGGCTGCTCCTGCCACCTCAGATCCCTCAGTTTAGGGTTTTTGGGTTTTTTTTTCTCACATATTTTTGGGGGCAAAAGCTGCTGTTTGATGTTTTAATGCCCTCCCCACACTGAGCAGAAGGGATGATGTTGCTGGGGGGTGAAAAGCTGTGCCCACTGACCCCAGCAATTCCCACTCCCTCCATGGGGGTTTTCCTTGCAGGAGAGCTGAAATCAGGGTTTTGGGGTTACCCTGGGGCTGGGGAACTCCAAATGGGGCAGCCAGGAGGAACAGCCCAGGTTTTGGAGGTGTTGCACTTCCAGCTCCATAGATTATCCTGAGTGGGAAGGGACCCACAGGGWTCACTGATCCAACCCAACAATCCCCCCTGAGCATCCCTGGCAGTGCTGTCCAAACCCTCCTGGAGCTCTGGCAGCCTCAGGGAGCCTGGGCAGTGCCAGCACCCTCTGGGAAGAGCCTTTTCTGCAGGCACCTGACCTAAACCTTGGGAAAAGCTGGATGGGCATCAGGTAGGGACAGACAGGGTTTGGGATCTGCACTGGGAAAGATTCTCCTTGTCCCACCAAGGCAAGGGCGGGCACGGTGCTGGGGGAGGACAACCCACAGCAGAGGAGGGAGAAATTGTAATTGCCAAAAGAGGAAAAGTTGGGCTGGGAGGCGTGCAGGGATGGGCAGGTCTGGGATCTGCCAGGTCCCGGGGGGCTGGGACACCCCAATCCGGCCGGGGCTGGAGTCTGTCTCTGTTCCCTGTCCCCCGTTCCCCGCGGCAAAGTCCAATGGAGTTTGTCCGAGAGCAGGGGAAGGGTGGCTCCATCTCCGTGTCCTCCGTGCTGTTCTGGTGTGCTTTCCTTGTCGGCTGCATGTGGGTCTGGACAATTCCCGGCAAAGCAAGGAGCTGCTCTGTTCCCGTGTCGGTGCCCCTCCCGTCGTTTCTCTGTCTCTCCGTTGATACAAGTGCGCTGCTTGGTTTCACTTGGGATCCGTGTTTTTCATTCTTTTTGTGTTTTGTTTTTTTTTTTTCTTGCTTTCCTTTGCGTTTCTTCTGCTTGTGTTATCAGAGGATGATGCTTTTATTGACAAACTGCCCGCGTTTGAACGGCGCAGTGAAACGCCGGCAGGTACTGTACTGGCAGGGAGCTTTCCGAGCAATCCGCCTTCGGAGCGGCACCCACCGCTCGCAGCACCTTGCATGACAGTTTCTCAGTGACTCAAARGACTCGGAGGTGGAAGGTTGGCACCTCCCGAATTCCGAAAGGTTCATCCAGCAGCTCAAAAAAGCTGTTTCCACCCCCCAACCCCCGCCCCGCCCCCCCATCCCGAGTTATTCCAGCGTGGTGGCTTTGGGAGCGCAGGTGGCGATGGCGAAGGGAAGATTCCAGCAGGGACCTGCCGCTCTGTGTGCGTGTGTCTGGTTCTCTGCAAGTGTCGTGTCCTCAAGTGCGAGAGCAAGCAGCCACGTGTCACTGTCACTGCGTGTCACCGCGGGGCCATGCGGAGCAGCGTTCGGCCGGCTCCGCGCAGGTAGAACGCGCTGACGGAGCCGAGAAGCCTCTTCTACTGTAGCCAAAAAAAAAAAAAAAATTAAAAAAAAAAAGCGAAACAGCCCCTCCAAACTCCTCACCCGGCGGGCAAAACGACTCTTCCATCTGGGCTTCCATAGCTTCGCTTCCCGCTTTCCGTCTCCCACGCCAGCGCCCGGGTGTCCCTGCACGTGTGACCGCCCTGCAGCGCCTCGTCCCCTCCCCGTAGCGACATTAATGACCTGCTCTGTGACTCACACTGTGTCCTTCTCTCTCCCTCTCCTTAACCTTTCCCATCCCGCTTCAACTCCTGGCCATACAGAGAATGAACAGCCTTCCCTCGTTTGGTTTGACAGAGGAAAGTTTTATTTGACTTTCGAAGGTAAGTAGTGCAAAGCACAGCCGGTAACCACTCGCTGCCCTCGCTCTTGCTCTCCCGCTCCCGGGGTTCCCTTCCAGGGCTCCATCCAATCAATCCAACTTTCCAGGCTCCATCCAATCCAGCTTCCCGTGCGGAATGCTATGGYTCCTTAGATGGCATCGCCGGTCCGACCGGAATCCTTTTTTGATTTGGTTTAGTGCCATTTTGTCCCGCTGATCTCTTTCTCCTCGTTGATTTCCTTTT